AAAAATGCATGTCAAAGAGACTGAAACTTGCTCTTGACTATAGAGGGCCCTCCATTCTGCGATAAGCCTCAGCCCAAAAGCATTCAGCTGTCGCTCCTTAGGTCAGCAAACCTCACTCACTAATTTAGTGCCTGGAGGCACTCCACTCTACAAACAAGTCACCCAACCCAAAGGCACTCGACTTGTTCCATAGGCTTGGAAAGCCCACTCCTCTGTCTGGTGCTCTGATTTTTGGTTCTGCTGCTGCCCCATCCTAGCAGAGTGGAGTGCTTATGAGCACTTATAGGTGGAAGTAAAAAACTTTGTTAACATTTGCCTAAACATGGTGAAGGCCAAGGCAGCCCAAGAGGCTGAGGATCAGGAAGAGGCCTGTAAGCACAGCTGAGAAATGGCTGTCTTGACCAAAGAACTGTCTCCCAAGTCTTTCCTGATCCTGAATGGTAACCTGAATTGCTTCTCATTTTGTGAGTATTGTCTGTGAGTTCTGTGTAACCACTGCAACCAATTATCTAACGAGCAGAGAAGTACAGTGTGCCATCCGAGGAATAGTTGGTGTCAGAACTGGTAAAAAGGTTGGAGAAAGGAGGCCTGTCTGAACTCGCCCTCATAGGAATCAGCCTTGGGACGACTGATGCTGATTATGAGTCTCCTTCCTAGTTTTTTGATGTTGAAAGTCAGACAGCACGGTCACCATGCCATTTTTACACATACATAAAAAGATCGAGATCTCTAATGCTGTATCCGATGATTTGTTTCAGCATGATGTAGGATTTACTCTATTGACTTGACCCAGAAATTGCCAAATGTTTTATACTTCAGAGTATAAAAGTTACCACTAAAGCTCAAACAGTTTCTGTAATAGTGACCGAGTAGCATGCAATTGGGGCAGACTCTTTGATTGGATTACAATGTTTCCCTTTCCGCTGAAATCATTCGGATCCAATGCTTGAATTATGAATACATTTCATACATAATACAAGGGTAAGTCAAAGGTATTACTATAAAATAATATTTTAAAAAACCCTCATTAAGCAAAAGCATAAAATGTGAAGCTATTATTCCTCCATTTAGGTTTATACACTTCTGAAGGCAGTGTTTCCATCTCTTTAACCCTTCCCCAAAGAATTCTAAGCTCTTTAATGCACACAATGCCAAAATGGCAGCTTTGCCAACCTTGAAGGACTCATGTTCCTTTTAAATATTCTTTGAGTTTGGGGCCAAAAAGGAATCTGAAGGGAAGGGGTTCAATGAATTAATTTATATCTTCTACTCTTAGTCTTCATGTAGTGTTTCATTCTGCTGTGCATAAGGTCGCTGTGGGTAGGTGCCGACTCAATGGCACCTAACAACCACAACTCTTAGTCTTGAAACTTCTGCATATGATTTTTCCTGATGAATCTGGGTAAGAGAAGATGGGAGAAGAGACCGATGGGATGATACGATTCAGCTGTGAATGTTTAACTGTAATTGTTAACTGTACACAGTTAATTGTAATTGTTAGAACTTGAGAAACTCTACCATGGGCATAAAATGAGCCATCTCAGTAGCCTAAATGGGGGACTTCACGATCATCAAAGAAAAGCCAGGTGTGACTCATGTCTTTTGGACTCTAAGATCCCTGCGTATTAGATCTCCTTGACCCAGGGACAGAAAGCTGTGACGTAGGACAAGTTACAGAGAAGCAGCAACAGCAGAACCAAGAGCCAAAGCATGAGACAGACAGAGCAGTGGACTTCTCAACCCATGGAGCAAGTAAAGCTTATAGGCAGGAGGCTTGTTTGTGGAGAGGGGTGCCTTGAGGAACTTAATTGGGGAGCTAGGTTCAGGCTGAGGTTTATGGTGGAGTGGTGTGACCTGTGGGCATTTGTCAGCATCTCTTAAAGAGCTTTGTAGCATTGTCCTGGGAGAGAGAGGCCTGCCTGTGGGCACAGCTGAGGAGAAGCTGCCCTACCTGAAGAACAGTGCCCTGAGGATTTCTGACCCTGCATTATAACCTGTTAACTTTCCTAATAAACCTGCTAAGTGAACACAGTTTATGAGTTCTTTGTGGCCATTGCAATGAATTATTGAACCAAACTGAATAGAAATTGCTATGGGAGAGATGGTTGGTGACATTTACTACAAGGGACAAGATCAGGACTGTAGAGTGGATTGGGCGATATTTCCCAACGATATGGTTACAGGACAGCCCTTACTACCATAGCCGGAGCAAGTACACTGAAGTGATGAGGAGAAAAATTCCTTGACAGAATTTTCCTGTTGTTGTTTTTTTTTTTTTTCTCATCAGTGGAGTTTTCAATTTTCTTATAACTTCTGTATAATCCTTTTGATCATCTTGTGTCCTTTGAAAAAAAATCTATCAAGATTACTCTTTGGGTGTCAGAAAAAAAGGCCCCATAACCTTTTAAATTAACCTCCCTGCCTTGAATTTAACTGACCCAGTGGATCCCCTTGGAAATCAGTTTTATTGGACCATTTTTTCACATTGTAATTTTTTAAGGCACCCAAATGAGACTAAGACAAGTGAGTGTATCATTGAGAGAACTTGTCAGTAGCTGTATGCTAATCACAGAGACATGTTCAAACGTGTTTTGTTTGGAATAAACCTGTGCATGAATGAACTGGAACCCCAGGAGCAATGCTTTTTAAATTGACCTCATAAATTAAAGAACTCAGGATTCTTCAGGGAAGGGTTAGAGATGGAAACACAACCTTCAGAAGTATATAGACCTAAATGGACGATAGGACACAACAGTTTCAAATTTTTGTATTTTTATTTAATAAAGATTTCTATGATTTTTTAACAATACTTTTTGACTTACCCTTGTAGAGCTATATTAACAAATTTAAAAAAAAAAATAGAGTTGAAATTTTACCAATTCGGTACTTTGAAAACTCACAGAAACTTATCTTAAACCTTTTCAAAAGGATCATCAAACAAATAAGTCAGTAGTACTAAAACTGGATATGGAATAAAAATAAGGGAATAAGAGAGGTCAACTTGAGACAATGAAATGCCATACAGAAAAATGATTTAAAATACATGTTGTTAATAACTAGTTTATACATGCCTATTTGGCAAGAAATATGTATCAGTCATTCAAGTAGGTAAAGATCAATGCAAAACAAAAATGACAACCATAAAAGTGTTCCTATCTACTCTCCTGATGGAAATCCTTCATCAGTTCTGGAGCATTCGTGAGGTAGGAATTACAGCTTCATGACGTTTCTACTTTACCTAATCTCTTTCCATTGGAATAGGGTATCAACCTAGCCATGTTATCAATTGAAACTCCAAACCCACTGCTCTCAATTCTGACTCATGGAGACTCCATTTGTGTCCGAGTAGAACTGTACTCCATTGGGTCTTCAATGGCTGTCATTTTATGACAGTAAATTGCCAGACCTTTCTTCCACATTGCTTATGGGTGGATTTAAACCACTAGCATTTCCATTAGCAGCCAAGAGCAACCATTTGTCACCAGTAGGCAGTTGTTATCTTTCTCATGGACTTGGTAAAATACAAGGCTTCCAAGGAGTTAGTCAAAGCAAGGGACAGAAGAGAAGTGGAAGACAAAATGTGTTGACACAATTTAATGTAGATAGAAATGGAATATTCCTGGCTATCATCATTTCTGTCTTGAATGGCTCTGTTTATTTATTCTTTCCATTTTCAGAGAGAAAATTGTATACTGAGAGAAAACACATATCTCTCTTGGTTCTCAGAATTGGTTATCATTCACCTTACACTACTCTTAGATTTTCTTAACTGGCTTGCAGTCAGTTCTATTGTTTAGAATGGCCTGTTGCCAGTTTTGTTGTCTAGTTGCTGGAGGGTTGGTACAGCTAAAATAGGGAGAAAAGTTTTAAAAAAAAAAAATGGCTATGGAATAGGCTATTCTGACTAGGAACACAGAGTTCAGATTAAAATTTTCACAGTGGCATGTTATTTGTAAACATCAATAGGCTATTTAGAAACAGGTGTTGTAGGGTATAGTAATTGGAATTGCTACTATCAGCAAGCATTGCTAGGTTAGATTTTGGAATACATAACAATGCTTGTCATAATTAGACTATAATCTGAAGGCTACCAGCAAAGTTTACCTATCTGAATAATCCATAGATGTAGAAATCATCTATGACAAGAACACAGTGCTTCCTGTTTAAACTGGGAGACTAGTAAAGGTAGAAATGTGAATCATTTAAAGTGTGTCCAGTAACACCAGACAAGTATTATGCCTATGACAGAGCCATTATATGAATATTCAGGCTTTGAAAGTAGGGATTGGTAATAAAGGGGCCTAACCACATTTCACAGACGCTTCTCCATAAATGATGGAAGCATTCATACCTAACCTGGACTTTTCATGGATTTACATGGGTGGGAATGTGATCGTATATGATACAAAACGTATGTTTTTGTTTTTGTTAAACGTCATACAGTCGGTTCTGACTCAACAGTGACCCTGTAGAGAGTTTCTAAGTAGTGGCTGATGGGTTTGAACCAACAACCTTGCAGTTAGCAGTCCATTGCTTATTCTACCACACCAGACCAGGACTCCACAACACGTATATGTAGGTGTTTTCCTTTACATTTAAATTTTACTGTGTTATTTCTGTCACAATTTTCCAATTTTAAAAGTAGGAAATAGTCCATTAAAAAATTCAGAGCTTGAAAGTGTGTTCCTTAGCTGTAATGGTACGTTAAAAACATGGGGTCTTTGTGTGTAGACGCATTACGCACTAATATCCGAGCGGGTTGGAACCGTCGACCATCGCTTATCATAGAGTGCCACGTACTGAACTCTTAATGGTGGATACCGTTAGGAACAGAGACCGGAAGGGGCAGGGACTCAGCGAAGGTGTGGCTTGGGCATTGCGAGAGAGTAGGCGCGCTTCTGGGAGACGCAGGTCAGAGCTCGGACGGCTGAGTAGCATCCTCACCTCTCCTCGTTCCAAATTTTAGCTGGGGGTCTGCGGGGCTCTGGCACACCGAATCCATGGCCACAGCAGAGGCTCCTTCAGCCTTGGTCGTCAGGGCCTTGGGCACGGCCGCGGCCTCTGGCTCGTACGGGGTCTTCTGCAAGGGATTGTCTCGCACCCTGCTTGCGTTTTTCGACTTGGCCTGGCAGCTACGCATGAATTTTCCGTACTTCTACATCGCGGGCTCCGTGATACTGAACATCCGCTTGCAGGTACACCTGTAGAGCCATGATTACATTGCTCCTATTCGGGTCCAGCCTAATGGCGGACTCTTCCTTGGTGACCAGAAGGGAAAATGGAGCTGCCTGCGGTGAGTCCCGCCATCTCGCGAGATTGCCTCCTAGGCCGTGCGCCGAGATGACGTGGAACCCCGAAGAGACGCGAAACGGGAATATGTGATTCTAGAAAAGGGGAAAGCTTTAAGACTCAGATATATTTAAGAAGCTATTACGGCCTCGGAAACCCTACATAGGGTCACTGTGAGTTGGAATTGACTCGATGACAGTGGGTTTGGGGGTTTAATTCATCCTCAAAATAAAAACGGGATGAACATCGACTTGTAAACAAAGGCGCAGAATAAATAAAGCTACTAAACTTTCCAGAAAAAAAAAAAAATTGTACAATAAACTCATGGTCAAAATAGGAAATTGATGGACTTAAAAATATATTGGATTGGATTGTAAGCATACATTGAATAATTTAAGAAGCTGAAGCTATTAGTAATAGAATATGGAAAATATATCATTTCATCATCCCACCAGAGAAAACAATGACAATGAATTCTAGGTGAATAAACCAACTGCCAGAGAGTCATCCTCAAAATAACATGTAAAGTGCTGCAGGATTTTGAACAGATGGTGCGAGTGTATGGAAATGGATTCTGTTTCAGTAGCCCTTTTAGGAGTAGTATGTGGATCAAGACCTTGGAGCCAAAGAGAAGGCAATCCAATCATAGACAAAGCTTAGCTATTCAGTTGACATTTAAATAATCATAATGTAAATGTTCATGGTTTTCATCTTTTAAGGGAATTATTTTTGTGGTTACAAAATGCAAATGTTATCTGCCTTTGATAATGTAATTGTATGGTTGGCAATTGGGGGTGTTAAGAGAGTGATAATGGTGCCCTTATAAAATGGGAAGTTGAAGAGATACTGCATACTAAATTATAAAACTAAGATTCCAGTATAAATTAAGTAGGGAAGCAAGTAGGAAAAAATAGCATTAAGTCAACAGGAAATGCCTGAAAAAAGAGACAAGGTGGGAGGTTTAAAATTGAAAAATGTAAAAAGAGTACCTGGTATTTTCAAATGTAGAAGTTAGATCGTTTTTCAGTGAGTCTGTTGTTGCATTAGTGATTTGTACATAAAATGCCTAGGCAATTATGAACCCTAATAAAAAACGTTCAAAAACTATACTACATGCCTCAACTATGAATAATACTCATATTAAAAGTCATTGGGTGCTACCGTTCATAGTCACCCTGTGTACAACAGGAGAAATACTGCCATTCCTGCACCTTCCTCACCATTGTCCCTATGTTTGAGCCTGTTGTTGCAAGCATTGAGTGATCCTTCTAATTAAGTGAACAAGGACCCTGGACTGCAGCTGCAATTTTAACCCATCAAGCCTCTCAAGGAAAAAGATATGGCAGTCTGCTTCCATAAAGATTGTGGTTAAGTGCCATGAGTCGGTTCTGAAGCATAGCAACCCTGTATGCAGACTCCTGGTGTGACGCTGCAAGATAAGCCCCAGACCTCAGGGTCAGCTGTTCAAACCCACCAGCTACTCCTTAGAAACCCTATGCAGGGTCACTGAGTCAGAACCAACTTGAAGTCACTTAACAACAAGGTTTCAGAAAACCATGTTTCTTCACGGTGTAGTTGGTGGGCTCAAACCGTGGACCTTGTGATTCACAGTACAGTTCTTAACAGCCTTTGAAATGCAGAGTATTTCTACTTTGTCCTGTAGGATTGTTAGGAGTGGAAATCTACTTGGGATGTGTGTGGTGGAGTGTCAATCAAAATCTAATGCTGAAAAATCAAGAACAATATAAACATTCAAGTGATTGGAGGAAAGAAATCAGAAATGGAAAAAAATTGTTTCTTGTTTTTTGGGTTCTTTTTTTTTCCTAGCTAGGTATTCCTTTGATTAAAAATTAACTACATCTTTTTAAAATTTCCCCCAGATAATTCTAATGTCATTGCTAGTATGAGCCACAAGAATAGAATGAGGTTGAAGTTTTAAATCAGGCAGGCATCTGTGGTCTTAGGTGACTCCATTAATCTGCCTAAACTCAGTTTCCTCAACTGTTAAAGGTCATGCCGAGAACTGAAAATAAACCTGCCTTTGTTGTTAAGTGCCTTCGAGTCAGTTCTGACCCATAGCTACCCTGTATAGGGTTTCCGAGGAGCAGCTAGTGAGCTTGAACTGCCAACCTTGCAGTTTAAACAGCTTTGCAGTCTGGTGCATTAACCCACAGCACCACACCAAACCTGCCTTAGTGCACAGTAGATAGTATTTATTATTCTAGAATATCACATTAATATGTGAGTAAAACTTAAAACTCATACATATGAAATGTCTCCTTTTCCAGTGGAGGTTCTCAGTCCCAAAAGAGACAAATAGGATACTGACTAGCTGGTTTTCATGAGATTATTTTAACTTTTCATTGATAAAAGTCAACCTTTGAAAGCATTACAAATTTAAGGCAAACAGAAATAAAGTTAATAGAAACTTGAGATTCACAGGCAAGGCCAGACCTATGTGAAAAGGTAAATAAATTATTTTTAGAATTAACATTTAAACGTGAGGCTAAGAAATAGTAGTGGAATATAGACCACAGTGCCTTGGTCTCTTGATAAGGCATTGTTGTTACTAAGTGTTTTCAAGTCAGTTCCAACCCATAGTTACCCTGTATAGGGTTTCTAAGGAGCTACTGGTGAATTTGAACCACCAACCTTGCAGTTCAAACTAACATTTCAGTCCACACCAGGACTCCAGAAAGTATGGAACACTTTACGAATTTGCCTGTCATCCTTGTGCAGGGGCCATGCTAATTATCTCTGTACCATTCCAATTTTAGTATATGTGCTGCATTGGTACCCACAAAATGGCTAAAATAGGAAATGGCCACCTGGGATTTGATCTACTCAAAAATAACTCAACTTTCAGAATTGATCAACCATCTATGAAGTGTTTTAATGAAGGTGTATTATTCATGATCCAACACAGGGCATAGATTAGTGTTGACACCATTCACAATGTCGGAGGTGAGTGGACATTGGACATGTTTTGCAGATGGCCCTCTTGTTTCTATATTTCCATTCCGGAAGTCCCAGGCTCAAAGGACATGAGGATTAATGAAGACCAGCACCCAAGCCACCTGAAACAGCAGAGATTAACAATGCCTCATCCTCTGAGATCTGTATTGACCAGCACGTTTTCACTGTGACATTTTCTTACAATAAAGTTTTAAGACAACGTGGTTTGAATGCTCTAAAATAATCTTCTCAGCTTATAAATTCTAGGGCAGGACACAGATATAAACCTATATTTTTGCTGCTGCTAAGTGCTATGTGGTCGATTCCAACTCATAACTACCCTAAGTTTTCCACAGCTCTCTATCTTTGTGGGAGCAGAAAGCCTTAGCTTTCTCCTGTGGAGCAGCTGATGGGCTCAAACCGCCAATGTTGTGATTCACAGCCTAGTGCTTACCCTACAGAGTCACTGTGCTCTCCTGATTAATTCACTACATCAAGACTATTAGTTTATTTGTGGAAGAAGTAATTGACAAGAAAACAGTGATGATCATCTTTTCCAATAGTTTTGTCCCAGCATAGGGTACAGTTCTCTCCAGATTGCACAGGACTGGCTGTGACTCTTCTTGGATCATAGTTTGGTTCTCCAACACAGACTCTCATGAAAGGGGAGGCGCAGAGCTTGGTTTCAGACTGCTACGTAAATAGGGAGAAGGCAGCATGTCAACAAGGCTTCATCTTTATAATCTAAGTAGCTGTTGGCTACACTTCTACCTGGAACAGATCCTTGTTCCATCTGTCCAAGGTTACTATATGAGAAGTGAGGACTTAATCCTAGTGAGACATTTTCTCCTAAATCCCACTATAAGAAGCAAGGATTGAACATACTTGTTTCAGTCTTTTATATCCTATTAAAAGCTTTTATTAACACTATGATGTCATTCAAAAAGCTCAAACTAAATGCATTAGTTGTTAGTGTCATTGGGCCAATCCCAACTCTTAGCGATCCTGCATGAGGTTTCGAAGGAGCAGCAGGCGAGTTTGAACTGCTGTGTGGTTAGCAGTCTAGTGCTTATCCTACAGCACAACAGGACCCCACACATGTAGTAAGCAAAGTATTTACTGTTTTTACTGAAACCAAATTATCTGCATTGTCTGAACCTAAATACAGCCATTTTGATTTCAATACCACTTCCTAAAGCAAAATAAAACCCAATTACAATGCTCCGGAAAGCTCTTAGTGCTCAGTGAGATGAATGCAGTTTTATATCTCCATGTAGATCTAGATATACATTTATCATCATCATGGATGCATGGAACCAGTACCACACAGATGTGTTCACAACATAATTTACCGGGGTAAGAGTGTATGTACTATATGAAGCCTTTTTAAGTCTTATATTCTTTCCATCATCAGATGTGTCTTAACTACTCCATGAAATTTTTGGTTTTTACTCCATGAAAATTTACAGCTACACATTTTCAACATTTATTTTCTACAATTTGGTTTATTATTATTTGCTTCTACCATCAAAACAATATGGAATTAGAAGCTTTAACAAAAATTTCTCATTTTGGGCATTTCTACATATGCTTACATTTATAATCTCTAAAAATTACTATGTTACAAGCCATTATAATCAACTAGTCTTAATATTTACATTTTCAGCTACTTTATTATAAAAGTTAAACTAGCACTATATGTTGTTATGTGCTGTGGAGTTGGTTGCAACTCATAGCGACACTGTACAGGGTTTCTGAGGCTGTAAATCTTTACAGGAGCAGAAAGCCTCATCTTTCTTCCGCGGAACAGTTAGTAGTTTTGAACAGCTGACCTTGCAGTTCGCAGCCCTATTCGTAATCAGTACACTACCAGAGCATTATATAGACACACAAATATGTCTAAAATGTACACAAATATGTGGTATTCTCTTGGAAACTTTCTGTTTTTATCCCGGGTGAGTTGATTATTTTCTATGACAAGGAACACACAATCATGGTATGACAAAATATATTCCTTACGTATATAAGGAGCTTTAAAACCTTTGTGGGGGAAAATCCATTATCTTTTCATTCCATTTTTCTATGAACTTTTGAAATCCCCTTTCACACATACATGCACACCCACGAATACATACAAACTTAAGTGTCAGAGTATGATTTTGATACTTGTACAACAGGAATATATTGTTAGGCACTTAGGGAGAATTATCTAATTTTTTCTTAGATTTAAATGATAAAGATTAGCAGTTTACAAGTCCGTTAGTTGATTTGTACCATTATGGAAATGTATATTTTAATTTCTTGAATTAGTAATATGAATAAATTTTGCCTAGGATATTGAAGATAGTCATAATTTGGGAACTTAGTTTTCCATTTTGTTTTACAAATACAGCTTATTTTTTAGTAATTTTATAATATTCAGATTATAATAGAAATCTCTTTTGTTTTAAAAATTCTGTCTGCTGTTACAAGATTATGTGCTTTCAGCATTTCTGTTCCTTTATTTATTTTTCACTTAATGCTCTACAAATGTTTTACCAACTTCAATTTAGATGTATTCAATTCTAAATAGTCATGGTTTTTTCCCTCATTTTAATTACAAGTGTAATTTAACAGCATATATAAAATTAATACATGTTCATTTAATATTCTTTAGTCTCAGATATTTCCTTGCTAGTAGCAAGAATCATAATTACAACAATGCTTGCTCTAAAAAAAAAAAAAAAAAAAAAACCCAACATGTCAGCTGGCTTTGTGAGTAAGTTGCTAGTTGATAGCCCATTATAGGAAATTTTCAGTGACGCTAAATTAATACTTTAAAGATTCTAGTTAAGAAAATTAACCTATAGAGATTTCTCATAAATTTAATTTTCTAGGATCATAGAAAATTCTAGAAAAGTCTGGTTATGAAGTTAAAGATTTTACTCTCTTCAAATGGCATTTAAAATGCCTCAGTAGTTGTAAGGCAGTCTGCCTTAGCTTGCTGTTTCCCAGAATTAGGATAAATGAATGGCCTGAAGGAAAAATAGTTAATAAAAAAATGACAAATAAAGTGGCCTCTTGTTGCTTCAATGAAAAGAAAATCCATCCTGATGATAGACTGGAAATAGAATGAACTATGAAGAGGAGAAGGAAATACATCACCATTTTCATGGCCCTTATATGGGCCACTGTGCTGAAGTCTCTTGTGTCCATAGAGTTGAACTTCAAATTCCTGATGTGTCTCACCAAGGACAGAAATAAAAGGAGCAATGAGGTCAAGGACAGAAGAAAGGGGATTAAGGAAAACAAATTAATGTTCAAGCTATTAAAATACAGAGTTTTACTTACATCTGAAGACCAAGTGAAGTTTTTTTCATGTCTTCCATAAGCTTCAATCCATAAAGTATTAAATGTGTTTATTGATAAAAAGCTGAAAAACATTAAGAACAAAGACCCCAGTAGGAGGACAAGCAGTACTCGACTGAGTCTCCTCTTCAGCCAAGCAAAGCAGGGGTGCGAGAAATGGGCTATTTTGAAGAAGTAGAAAATACTTAGGCAGGTGGCAAACCAGGTAGCTAGATGATTGGTTACTGTCCAAAAAAAATTTATAAATGTTGTTATTTCAGCAATGGCATATATATGTGGTCTTAGCACTATTACAAATAAATCAAATAGTACTATCCAAAGATAAGCAATTCTGGAGATAGCCAAACTGGTGAGGATAAAGTCAACTGATGAGATCTTGTGATTGTTGACCCAGTCAATGCAGTTAACTAGTCCAATGAATCCATTCCCTAACATTCCCGTTATGAATTCTCCTATTACCAAGGTCAGCAGGAGATTCTCAATTTCAGATGACATTTCTTTTGAAAAATATCCAGAAAACTAATACTGTGTTTCACTGACTTTAACTATCAAGATACTACAGAACAATATCTAGTTTGATCCTTTTAACTTTTGTATTAAAAATGCATTATGTAGCTCAGAAAGTTTGGCTATTGCTGTCATCTCCGTTATCTTCATGAAGGTCTTTCTGGTGTTATTTTATGCTAATTCCTAATGTGGACCTGAGATATGTGCAAGAAGATCCAGTCTCACAGACCTTAATTAAAACCTTCACATTGGTTTCAGTTAGCTACTGGTTTCCAGATTCAACAGTGAATGTGCCTACTGGTCCTTGGTATTGACAGCTTTGTGATGACATCTGACAGGGTGGCATCAGGCATGCAAATATGAGACAGATCTCTTTACAGGGATTTGTGCTTTCCTCCTGAACTGAAACGCAAGCTGATTTGGAGTCAAGTATCTTAATTTTAATAAAAAGTGTCAAATCAATTTCTGTAATTCAAAGCATGGTTCATTTTCATTTAATGAAATGTTTAATATTTGAGATAAAATTATTTTTTATAAAATAAGTATAAGAATTTAAAAAATAGCATCAAGAGTAGTATAGCAAGTACCCATAGATAAACTATTATTGAATAACAAAATTTTTACCAAAATGCAATCGGTACACAGAGGAGGCTGCTACTTTGCTACTGAGTTCAATCATTAGTTCTAGTTTCATGAGGCTAGTGACAATTGGTTTGGATATTGAAACTTGTTAACAAGGGACTTCTTAAAGAAATGGCTAAAAGGAGAAACTTTTTCAAAAAGATATAAAAGCATATACAAACAAATCAAAACCCTATGTCCATCTGAGCCATTCTTCTGAATTCCAGGAAGTTACTGGCTATTTAATTCTAAATAAAGTATTGTCAACTGAAAGGAAAACAAGAATTATTTTATTTTTTTAAAAAAAGGGGTAGAAAACAGCTTTAAAAAATAATTCTGACCTAGATCCAGAGGGCCTGGAGGAAGGTAGAATCTCTACTGAGTACTATCCAATCTGTCTAGGCTGGCCTGATGAAATGAAATGCGAATAGGTCTCTTGTGATACAATAGTGAATAATTGTTATCAGGACTGATTGTTAGGGTTGGAAATGTAAAGGTAGACATTTTGTAGCAAGGAGGGGAGTGATTAACTTTTCAGTCTAGGATCGGAGGTCCCTGGGACCATCAAGGGATAAGAGCGGAGAGCAGGACCCTACCCAGAGAAGTAGTGATGACTGAGATGCAGGCAGAGACGATGATATGGAGAGATGGTGCAGCTGGGGACTTTAGATCCAGAGAGGGAGAGGGGCTGTGTGCTGACGACCAGGGGGCAGGCTTGCAGGGTATACCCTTTGGTTGCTTGATGGTGCATGGAGGGAATTGTAACCATGGCAATGAAATGATATACCATAGAATGAATGTAAAACTAATGTTCTCCCATGTAAACTATCACATAATTCATAATAAAACATTTAAAATAAAATTTTAAAAAATAATAATTCTGTCAGACTGGTTGGCCCAAAATGTGGTAAAACTTGGGGACACCTAAGCCCATGGAAAAGGACATAGCCACGGAGGGCTAGAGCTGACAGTGAAGTGTCCAGCTGATATGAAGTGAGGGGAGATGCACAAGAACGCCCAAACTTGGCAGATAGTACCCATTTGACCTAGCCTTGATGGCATGATAACCAGAACTCACCTAGAGAAAAATAAAATAATTTTTGATAAAAGAAACAAGTGTAAATTGCTACAATTAGATGAACTTGACCTATACTTATGGATGTAGTAGCTCAAAATACCAAAGGAGAATCAAGGAGTTGTCACATCAGTTATCAATCCTATCCCCTCTGTACGCAGGGTGGACAGGGACATGCAACTTAAGCATTGGCTACCTAAAATGAGGGGGTGCTAAAAGCACAAAGTGACTAGCTTAGAAGTTTTCAAGAGGGAGTTTAATTTCAGAATGGGGAAAGATAGAGTCCCCACTGAATACTTCTCATCTTGTTTAGATGGGTCTGGTGAAAAGAGATGGGGATAAGATTCTTATGATTCAATAGTGAGAAATTGCTATCATGACTAATTGTGACTGTAACAATTGTAAAGGTAGAAGTTTTATAACAAAAGAACGAGAGAGTAGTTAATTTTATAGTACAGAAACAGAGGACCATCAAGAGAGAAGAGCATGGTTCTCCGCCTGTGCCATGCCCTGGAGCCCTAACCTTTGGCAGGTGGCAACATAGGGCCCCTACCGTGGACGTTGGAGCTCATCAAAGACATGCTGTCACCCTACTCATGGCTGGGGTTCGAGGGGCTGTGCTGTTACCAGCACGTATGGAAGAGGACCTGTTGCTTTGACCCAGCCTCATCCCAGGGATCTGAAGGACAGCGGAAATAAGCCCCCAGCTCAGCTTCCCGCAAAGTGCAATACTTGACCAAAGACCTCACAAACATCAGTCAGCACCTCCAGGTTCCCGTCCAATTCCCCCAAGGACTCCTCTCTGTGATCCTTGAAAAAGGACGCATGTCTGCCATGCACTTCTTCACCTCCTTGCACCTGGAGTGCCCCGAGATGTTGGAGGTGTCCTGCGAGCTGTGGATGCGCATCTGGTTCCCGGATGAGGACATCAGGGAGCTCCAAAGCATCCTGGCAGCCGCACAAAAGGTGAGGATGCCGGCAGAACAAGCCCAAAGGTTTCTGGAAAAGGTTTCGACACCAAAAATGAAGAACCAGCTCTAAAAGACCACCGCAGCCACCTGCAGATACGGGCCTTTTGGGCAGTCACTGTGGCTCACGTGAACGGCCAGTCCTACATGCTGTTTGGCTCAGACCGCATGGAGCTGCTGGCACACCTACTAGGAGAGCAGTGGATGGTCCCCGTGCCACCAGTCCCCAGCGCCAGACTGTAGAAGTGTCCTGAAGTGAGAGCAAGCTGCCTGTCTCACCTCTGCCACTACCCACCCAGCCCCTACCTGGGCCTGACTCAGAACAACGGAGGAACTTGTAGTTTCCCCGTGGCCCCTTCTCATGGGGTGTCTTAGCACCTTCGACAGAACTCCAAACTCGGCTACACAAAATAAATCTCAGGCATGTACAGAGCGTGCCTCCCAACTGTCCACAACTTCAAAGTCTTCGCAGTAGGAGGGGTACAGGAGTCGGAAGCATTGCCCGCCGCCGGGCTTCCTCCGCCCCATCATCCGATCCGCCCCCCACCCGCACTCCCCCCTTCTACCACAATCATGCAGAAAATGAAGCCAGATGGACTTTGAAAAAAAAAAAAAAGAAGAGCACAAGCAGAGTGTGGGACCCTATCCAGAGAAGCAGCGACACTAGAGATGGAGGCAGAGATGAGGAAGATGAGGACATGGAGATAGGGAGCAGCTGAGGACTCCGGACTCATGGGAAGAGAGGAACTGGGTGCTGGCGGCCAGGAGGCAGGCTTACAGAATGTACCATTTGGTTGTTTAAAGTATTATATATTCCTGAGTGTTTCTGTGTATACCCCCCAAAATAAAATAAAACAGGGAATGGAAGCAAAAAAAAAAAAAAAAAAAACCCCACCAACATATATTTCTGTCTTATAAGAAATTAATTAACACTAAAATGTGCTTTAAATTATTGGATGTTGGGGGTAGGGATTCCCAACAAGCAGGTAGCCCTGGCACAGTAGTTTTCAATCTTGACTGCACATTGGAATTACCTGGAGAGATTTTAAAATGTAAGAATACCTATGAACCACACCCAGGAATGCCATTGAGTAGGACTGAAATCAGTTGTAGGCACTGAGAACCCCCTGATCTGTGCCTCACAATATCTCACAGGGCCAAGCAAAAAAGTTTCTATCCACTAGCAGCAAATACAAAGATCTTTAGGGATACCACAGTGTGTGACCCACTTATCTTTGTACAACACATTCCTTGTACAACACATTCCATATTCAGCCAGTGTCTCCAGTGCTGAATAGAGTTGACAAATAACTTTAGCACCATGAAGGAAAATATTTTTTCCTTATTGTTAACTCTATTTCCAGTGCCTTCAAAAGGGCTTGTCAAAGAAGTGGTGGTGGTTGGTGGTTATGTGCCATGGAGTCAGTTCCGACTCATTGCGACCCTGTAGAGGGTGTCCAAGGCTATAAATCTTTATGGGAGCAGAAAGCCTCATCTTTGTCCTGGAACAGCTGGTAGTTACGAACTGCTGATCTTGCGGTTCACAGGCACTATACTACCAGAGCTTCTTTGTCAAAGAATGGACCCTCAACTATTTGTTAGAGGAATGAGTGCTACTTTAGTTGATAATCCTACTGGGAACACAGAAAAACAAAAAGCAAATAAGACTTCATTATGAGACTCTAAAAATAGAATGTAAAAAGAAACTCCTTAAAACTAGACAAAAATATAAAAACTTAAGAACTCACTATTTCTGTGTTGTTGTTAGGTGCCATCAAATTGATACTGACCCTATGCCCAACAGTATGAAACACTGCCCAGTCCTAGGCCAACCTCAGAATCATTGCTACGTTTGAACCCATTGACACTGTCACTTTGCCAGTCCATTCCACTGGGAGTCTTCCTCTCTTTCTCGGGCCCTCCACCTTGCCAAACATGATATCCTTCAAGGACTGGTCCTTCCTGATAATATGTCCAAAGTATGAGAGATAAAGTCTGGCCATCCTGGCCTCTAAAAAGCATTCTGGCTGTAAATTCTAACGTGGATTGGTTTGTGCTTTTACAGTCCATGGTACTTTTAATATTCTCCTCTGACACCATAACTCAAATGCATCAATTCTACGGTCTTCCTTATTCACTGTCCAACTTTAACATATATTTGAGGTTATTGAAAATCCCATGGCTTGGGTCAGGCACCTCTTAGTCCTCAAACTGACATTTTTGCTCTTAAACACTTTAAAGAGGTCTTGTGCAGCAACTTTGTCTAATGCAATACGTTGTTTGATTTCTTGACTGCTGCTTCCATGATTACTGATAGAAACAAA